TTCGGTCCTTTTGCTCATCCCTAAGCTCATCTCTGCTACACACTCACAATCAAGCAACTCATTAGCAACAGTAACCCCTAGGCTAAGGCATCACAAATCAGGCCACTCTAGTCCTAAAATATGAAATACCTAGATTACTCTCTAGCATGCATAATATATCTCATAACACAGAAATAAGGGTATTTTAGGAAATCACCGTTCGAGCTCTGGCTGATTGTACACACTGCTCTTTCTCGTTTTTCTATTATAAGCTCTTACTCGTTTTAGAAAAATCATTTCTCTTTGAAATTTTTTCTCAAATCGTCAGTTTCAGTCCAGACATACCCGAAGGTGCATCCGAATCTCTCAAACTAAGGTTCTGATACCAACTTGTAATAATGTAATTTTTTAAACAAAAATTTTCATTTTTAAAACACATAAAACTCATATATTATATTTCATAAAAACCATAATTGTCTCAAAGCCAACATAAATCCATGAACAAAAGTCAAATCCAAGAATCCTCAACATGATCTCGAACAAGTGTGTACAATCACGCCGATGCCTTCCCGCGATCATCGGAAGTACCCAAAACACATAACACATAACACAGTAAGCATAAAGCTTAGTGAGTTCCCCAAAATACCACACACAAATAACTAGCCACTCAAGGCTATAACTCTGTAGAACCTTCCGGTCAATGTGTCTCAGTGGTACCCTCCAGTCCTATAGCTCGTTGGACCCTCCGGCCCGATCTGGTTGGGACCCCGCCAGTCCCATGGTGCGTTGGACCTTCTGGTCCAGTCTAGTTAAGAACCCTCCGGTCTCATGGTTCGTTGGACCCTCCGGTCCGATCTAAATATCACATAATATAGCATACAACACATATATCACACAAAAAAAATGCATAACCCAAGCAAGCACGTAAGAATCTCTGGTCACACATAATTATCACTCTAGGTAAGGTATAGTGAGAAGACTCACCTCGAAGCAAGCAAGCTAAAACACCTCGTACATGGATCACCGATCTAGCCTCTGCCTAATACATGTGATGATTATCTCCAATTAGACCACAATTCTAATAAACTCATATTAACCCCCTTTTTAACCTTGGTAAGGGTAAAAGACCATTTTACCCCTCCAAGGTCTTAATTACTCACATTTGGTTAAAACTCTAAAAGTCAACCGAAGTCAAACTTGAGTCAACAGTCCATGTTGACCCTACTCGACGAGTGCACCAGGAGGACTTGTCGAGTCCCCCTCGATCCCTCAGAGACCTTATGAAAACCAGCTCTACTCGTCGAGTTGACCCGCTAACTTGACGAGTTATAGCTTGCTCAGACTTATCAGAAATAAACCCTAAGCAACTCGTTAAGTAAGCTCAGCGACTCAGCGAGTTCATTATGTCTCTACTCCCATTCAGATGTTTTAAATCTATCACTCCAACTACTAGATCTAGGCTCCCTAGGATCGATTGTCACGTAAAGTTTCAATATTTACGTTCATGCATGGTATATTTGCTCCATAATGCCATTACAAGCTCCAAAGGAAAGTTAGATGCTCATGAGCCTGCCCCTAGCTCAATAAAGCTCGGATCTTTGGACTCTCAAGGCCTCCTATAGTCCAGATCTGAGGTTCTAATTTCAAACCATGCTCAAATAATGCAAGGACATAAGATGATTGGAAGAAAACCCTAAAAACTTCCCAAAAATGAGATCTAACGAAAATATGTAGCCAATGTGAGAGCTTTTTACCTCTGAACAAATGCTAATGATAGAAGAACACTAGATCCACAACTTCTCCTTGATAAGATCCACAATGCCCCTCAAATCTTCCTGGGAATCCAGATGTTACACGTTAGCGTGTGCATATTGCTGTTATAAAACCCTATTCCCTCCTCCGCTTTTTCCCTAATGCAATCGTTCACCTAGTTGTCGCCATAACGACCTCTGACCATCGCCTGCCACCATGAGGGTGGTGGTGCTGTGTGTATTTTCTTTGTGTGTGGTGATGTGGTGTTTGTGTGCGTGTATTGTAATGGTATGGGGATGTAGGAGCATTTCTTGGTTGGGGAAACATAGAAAAACCCACCACCACCACCGTGAGGTGGTGGCTGCCACCTCACGCTGCCATTTTGCCACCACCAACCACCACTTTGGGTGGCCGTGTGCATTTGTGTGTGACTTTTATTTGGAATGCTTGAACATATTTAGTCTAAAATCTTAATCACCACCACGAGATGGTAGCCACCACTGTGAGCCACCGTTGACCACCACTACCCGAGGTGGTAGTGGGTGGTGCCCGACTTATTTAACACCAATTAACCTATTGAATCCCTAATTGACCTAAAAACCTAACCATTTGATTAATTGACACGCGATTGGGTTGGAAACCCTAATTAGGGTTTAGAAAACCCTAGTTTTGGATTTGTTGGTTTACATTTATCAGGACCCGCATTTTGGGCCATTGAAATTGAATTATGAATTGCACCCAAACACACCATATGATTTATTTAGTAGAGTGATGGACTTAATGGGTTAAGTAAGAAACACTTAACCTTAATCGTCATTTCATGTGAAAACCCTAACTTTGCTTAGGACTTGAGTTGAGCTTTTCTATTAGGATTTGGTGATTGGGCTAATGATGGGCCATACAAGAACAAACATGGAATATTTGGATGGGCTTTAAGGTAAGGCCCATGTGAGGGGTTTGGGCCCAATTTGGAAAATTAGGCCATATATGGGCCATAATTGGGCCTTGATGATTATGAGATATTGGACCATTGGAATGCCAAATGTTTGGACTGGAATAAATGGTTGGGCCTTAGGGTAAGACCATGTAGAGGTTTGGGCCCAATTTGGAAAATTGGGCCATATATTGGGCCTTGATTTATTATTTGGCTTTTGGGCTTCCAGAGTTTGAGTTGGGCCTTGCTTATGGTCCAAGATAGATTAGGGGTAAAATAGTCTCTTTACCCCAAGTGTGTATTTATGGTTATGCATTGAAACCTAAACGGTTAATTGGGTATTGTTTTGATCTTAATAATTTGGGGATCTGTCAGCCAGCAACCAGAGATTTATTTGTGGGACTTCAGCAGTGTGAGGTGGGTCTCCTCACTGTTTGTATGGGTCGAAGGCACCAATATCGACCCATTTGGTTTATGTATTGTAGGAAGGCCCGGGCGTTATCCCTAGGCATTATGTATGAAAGACCAGGAGGCAGCTCATGGCACAATGTATGCTATTATGTATGGTAGGAAGACCCAAGGGTTAGCCCTAGGCATTATGTATGAAAGACCAGGAGGTGTCTCCTGGCATATTGTATGCTAATTAGCTAAGTAGAGTAATATGTATGCTAGTTGTATTTGTGATGCTTGCATGGTAGACTAGGAGGTGGCTCTTGGTACTTGTTTGTAAGACCGAGGGGGTGGCCCCCGGCTTGGCAAGAAAGACCACGTAGCGACTCGTGGCATAATGACAATACTATGTTTGGCATATATCATCTTTATTGATTATGATATATGTATGGATCACGGTGACAATATCTGATTTATGTGCTTATATGCTAGACAATATCCGATTGAAAGAGACCGAAGGGTAGGCTAGCACCCAGATATGCTAGGCAGCATGTTGATATGTATGGTATGTGGTATTTGGGGAACTCACTAAGCTTCGTGCTTACAGTTTTTAGTTTTAGTTTCAGGTACTTCTTTTACAAAAGGAAAGGAGCTGGCATGATGGCAACGCATCACACTATGTTTTCCGCACATGAGATATTTGATATTACACTCTGATATTGTTTTATAATAACATGTTTTGATTATTGACACTATGGGTTTTGACATGGGATGTTATTATGTATGTTTTTATACTGTTGGTTTTATAATAACTTAATTATAAATGAAAATTTTGGTCTAAATTTTGGGATGTTATAGTGTTTTTGTGTTGGTTCCTGGAGATGTTGATCTTCAGGAAATAGTATTCTATAGAGAGGAAAAGCAGTCCATGAGCTATGTCGTATTGTAAACGATTGATGATTTTTTTTGGGTATAAGGACAAAGACCATTTGAACATTGTAATATTACTCAGTGTTGCAAAAGTCGACATAGATAGACGATTAATTCGAATCGGGTAGGGGCCGAAACACCTGATTAAGAATCATATAAAAAAACTTGGAATCGGTCAAACTCGGTCAAACTCGGCTCCAATTCTGTCAAAATCGGTTCCAATTTGGTCAAAATCGGCCAAAATCGAAAAAATTCAGAATCGATCAAAATATGTCAAAATCGAAAAAATCGATAAAAATAAAAAAACTCGGAAATTTTGACTTTTTTAGAAAAAATCTATAATTGTTATTGATATTTATTTATTTTGTTATATTTTTTAAAAAAACTTGTTAGATTTGTTATATGTGTATAAATATTTTTAAAATTAATTTCATATAGTTTATCCAATCCGAATCCCCGCCTAAATCGTATACTCGGTAGACGTTAGTCGGTCGTCTTGGGAATGCTTAACGAGTTTTGCAACATTGATATTACTTAAAACAAATCCCTTAAATTTATGTATTTATTAGTTTTTTTGGTTGATTTTAAGATTACAATAAAAAGAACAAAACAAATTTCACACATAAAAAACTAAAAAAGAAAAAAAAAAACTCTATTTCAAACGAGGGGGTTTGTAATCCTAGTGTTCGGAGACCTCTGGAAAATAATATATTTAGGACAAAATAATTATCTAAAAAAATGGTTATTTTTTTTTAAATATTTTATTTATGAGTTAGATTACTTAATTTATTTATTTTTAAGAACAAAACCATCGATCATTGCCATCTACTGACATTTTTTTAATTGAATAACCCTTTAAACCATTTTAGATAATCAGTTACTTTTTATAACATTAACCCTATTTATTTATTTTATTTGTTTTTGCTAAAACTGGGAAGTCGACGTATAGTTTTGAATCGTTGACTTAACTTCTTCTTACACAATAGTTCTATTAAAAAAATATTTACAGACGCAACAAAGTTTTGGTACAAGTTAAAAACTTCATGGTAGGTGTCATATCAGGTAGGGGCGAAACCAAAACCAGCTGCGGCTGCCATTCCGCAATCTCGTTTCCTCCAATAATTCGATAAACAAATCAATCCCCAATTCCCTCCAGATAACACTATCCCACCCTCCATTATCACCACCCTTGTTCCTACAACTAATTCACCTCACAGTCTGCTCCTCCCTTTTTTTCTGGGAATGGAGCTCGAGTAATTTTTGCTGAAATGGGTGATTTAATTTTGTGATCCGGGTTAGAATTCATTCTGTATTTGAAGTATGATACTACAGAGTTCTTTCACGTCCTGGATCGATCACTTCCTTGATTACATGGGGTAAGTACTCGATTCCTATTGTCGCATAAGGAATTCTGTCCCCCTTCTCATTTCACTGAGTAGGGCTTCAACATGATTCTTCAATTTGTAATTTTTTCGAATAAGATACACTGCTGTAGTTCTTAGGGTCAAATTCAAGGGTAATTGTCAAATCCGAAGCTGATTACTATATTGAACTTCTGTAATTTACTACATGTAGATGTTTGTTTACCAAATTCGTAACATATTCCTTATTACGTTTGACTGTGTCACCCGTTTAATCGAAAAGCAACAAAGCCAGAAAAATCTACTAGGGTTTGTTACCATGTGATGCACATGTCTTGATTTTGGTCCTAATTTTGCGATCGGTTTCTTTCATGTGATTAACACTTTAAGTTACATGATGTTAGGCATTATAGGAAGCTTATATTTAACTAAATCTTGAGACTCTATAATACTTTTCTTGTATGAAAAGCAACAATCTTTATTGAATTTTGTTTATTTATTTTAATGGATCTGTTTGTAACAGAGCAGTGGTTGCTTTGGTTGCTGTTCAAATTCACCACCAATTACTGCTGTTGATGAGCCATCAAAGGGTCTTAAAATACAAGGCCAAACTGTGAAAAAATCCATTTTTTCAGATGATTTTTGGAGCACAAGCACTTGTGATATTGATTTTGGCGCGTTTCAGTCTCAAAGAAGCTTATCATCTATCAGTATCTCAAATACAAGTCTCAGCCAATCAGGTGGCGCCACCTGTACTGGGATCCAGCCAGAATTCATTAACCATGGTAAGTTTTTATCTTTTCAAACGCATTCTTGAGGAGCCTTGGGAACAGTTTGACTTTCTTGGTCAAATGTACTTTGACCTAGAAAGTCAAAGTCTTTTTTTTTTGAGTTATTTATCTGTTTCTTGAAAACAGGTTTGCTTGAGTGGAATCAAACAAGGCTACAATGGGTTGAAAGTGGAAAGCCCAACAAAAGAAAAGCTCAAGAACCCGTTTTAAGGTTTTACCAAAAAAAAAAAAAAAAAAAAACTCGTTTGAATTTTCTTTTCATTTGAATTTTGCCTTAACTCATGATATGCTTTTGTAGCTGGAACGCCACTTACGAAAACTTACTCGGTACCAGCAGACGCTTTCCTCAGTCAATTCCTCTCGGTGTAAGTGGTTTCACTGTCACTGTCAGTCTATCACTATCTGTGTCTGTCACTGTCAGTGTCACTGATAATGGTTGTTTTTGATCAACAGGAAATGGTTGAGTTTCTAGTGGACATATGGGAGCATGAAGGATTGTATGATTAAAGATCAAATCATCGCCAAAAGCTCATCAAATTTGGTGATTTTCATCTCAAGTTCTTCGTAAGTTTAAAATATATATTTGTTCTTAATTCGAATCTTGATGTGTACAGCTGTTTTTAAGCATGGGGATTATACTAAACTACTACATTAATGTTTTATCTTTGAAAGTAAAAAAAGGAAGGATATAACTTGTAGACTTTTGATACCTCAAAAGGGTGTAAAGTGGATAGATATATATCGAATTTGATTGTATTTGTGTTGTATATCAGTATATGTATGCATCAAATTGGATTTATGTATTAATTATATGTGTATATATATCTTAAATTCTGGTTGATGATAATTAGATGAATAATGTATTTAGCATAAGAAAAGCGAGCAATGTATAAGAATTCTGTTAAATTATTAAAGTATTTACGAGTAATTAATATATATTTGAGCAATGAACAAGAATTGTGTTCAATTATTAAAAAAAGTTAACGAATAATTAGTATTAATGTAAAGGGAAATCTCCAAAAAAGTCCTAAAATTTTAATCCAATTTACGAAAAAGTCTCAAACTAAATTCTATTTATGGAAAAGCACAGAATACCGGTTAAAACTTCGAAAAAACCCTTTTCGGCCGGTTTCGCAGATTTTGCCGGTATTCTGTCCTTTTTCGTTAGTTTGGTCAAAATTTTGGGACTTTTCCAAAATCTACATAATAACCAAAATATTGGGATTTTTTTTTAAAAATTACCATGAAAATAATGGATATTATTATTAACAAATCATTTATAAACATAAAAAATATTTTTATTATAAAAAAAGAAATACATTTATTACTAATTTCTAGGAATAAATTGGTGGTCTAAGTACTCTATTGCTTCGTGACCACTCAAACTCTCTACATTCTTCCTATGCATTGTTGTGGGTATGACGGTGAGATGAACTTAGTTAGCATTCCTCTAATGTTGGTATTCCTCTTATGTTGTTTAACCTAACTACAAACCAACATTCATACCTTACATGTTAACAACCATCAGCTAACGCACATCTATATAATATGAAAAGTGAACTGTGAATGATAATTTATATGGAAACAAGTGAAAGGTAATTATCTATTTAAATTGCCATTCAAAGTTTACTTTTCACTCTCGATAGATGTGTGTAATTTTATGGTTGTTACCGGGTAATATTTGGAGGTTAGGTGGTAGTTAGGTTAAAGAACATAATGAAAGATCTATATGTTCGTGTAATGATATTTTCTAATAACACGTGATCATATAGCATCATGCCTAATAACACTTATTGATTGTGTATTATTAAATATTATCAGCTCATCTATTGGTCACGCCTAACATAATACTTCTCATTATGACACACACAACGATATGTAGGAACATAGAGACTTTGAAGTGGTCAATGAGCAATAGAGAAGTATACCGTCGACCATTCTATTACTAGAAATTAGCAACAAATGTATTTTCTTTGTTTATAATAAAAAAAATTATGTTTATAAATGATTTGTTAATAATAATATCCATTAATTCCATAGTAATTTTCAAAAAAGTCCTAATATTTTGGTTATCGGGTAATTTTCAGAAAAATCCTAATATTTTGAGCAAACTAACGAAAAAGGACACAATACCAGCTAAATCTACGAAACCGGCCAAAAAGGGTTTTTCCGAAGTTTTAGCCGGTATTCTGTGCTTTTCTGTAAACAAAAATTAGTTCGGGACTTTTTCATAAATTAAACTAAAATTTTAGGATTTTTCTGGAGATTTCCCTAACGTAAAAGGCAAATTGTGTTATACATAGTGATTGCTCAAACTTACAGCCTGGGGCAAAGTTGTGAATATTTCATAGAAATATTTTCGAAGTCCCAAATAAAAAATTAAAAACTAAATGGTTGTTTGATTGTTGTTAATTGAGTCAGATTTCAATAGTCTAGTTAAGTTAGATTCAAATCTCTTATCTCTTATATGACACGGTAAGAGGCAGAGGCAGACAGACTATATGATCAGATACTTTTAATTGTGTTATTAAACGGTACCAAGTTAGACTCAACCTTTTATCAAAATAATACAACAAACATCATTTATATGAAACAAACATGAGTTACCCAATCTACCATCCCATGCAAACCAAAATTCCTATCTCTCTTAACTCATCAACATTATCCTATATTTCTGCATGTAGGGCTTTAAATCTTACACAATCCCACACACATGGAATAAAAGTACTAAAGCTTCCTATCACCCTCACATATTAGTGTCCCATGAAATTGTTGTCCCAATCATACATAATTGTTATATTCTCCATGGAAATTGGCCTACATTTCATGCTTATCTATTTTCTTGATAACCTCCATTGAACCACTAGGGGTGAGCATGAGACAAAACCAGTATCCGAGTTTTCAGAAAACCAAATTGGGTGGAAAGGTGATACTGAGCAACAATTCGAACAAACATTACAGTACCGGTTTCGGGTACTTGCACTGGTATTGAATCCCAAATTTCGTGATTTTAGAGTGTCAAGTGTCGTCGCATATTACCATAACCAGTGCTGGTACTGGTTGGAGTCGTGAATTTCGGTACTCTTGCTCACCTCTATGAACCACAATCGAAATGCTTTGCCTAAACCATACACACACTATTTACCTTATTCACAAAAGTGTCTCTCCCTTTAAAACCAATTGACACCTGTGGAAAGGAAGGACTGAAGGAGGTAGTGATCATGCACTGTTGCACATTTAAAAAATTCACACAAATCTCAACTGGACCGAACCCTTTCCATACTTCCTAATCATATTGAACAATCTTTTATTACCTTACCATACACCCATATGATGAAGCAAACGAACCACATGCAAATTCTAAATCCCTCGCCAATTAACTAATCAATCGCTTTTATTTTTTCCTAATTCCATGCAATTTCCACCTTCAACCCACAACGCAACTATCATGCCATTTTTGAAACTCCTCTAATGGCTTACGTACACCCTATGTACCCCCCCAAATCATTCCACAATATAGAAACTATATCACATACAAAACCCATTCCCATGCACGACTATCTAACATAATCGACACCTACCTTCCTAAGCCCATTACACCTTAATTATCATGTCAAATACTATACTGCTTAAAAACTAAAACCAACCCTCAAAGTCCATCTATAAATACTTCATTAACTCACCAGTTTTCAATCATCTCTGACCACATAACCACTTCAACAATTAATTTCCTCTTGGGAATAAAACCCTAATCTCTCTCTCTCTCTCTCTCTCTCTCTCATTTTTACATCTTCCCATCAAATTTTGCATCTCAAAGTGTTTCCAACTATGAGCGCTTTCAAGATAAACCATGCATTAATTCAAAAGCATCATGCCCAACTAAGCTTCTTGTGTCATACATCAAACAATCAACCACCATTCTTACCAATCTTCTCACTTGGCCTCAAAAACCATGAACATAAACCATTTTTTTTGTCTCTGTAAAAAAATAAGGTTCAAACTTTCTTTCACGTGCAAACACTGAAATCTTTACCATTTGTAGATTTTAACACTACAAGAAATACAGCCTTTAGCGGTGACATGGACTTTTAGCGGCGACATATTGAAAAGTCGCCGCTAAAGGTAAATGTCGTCGCTATTTGTGTCGCACTAAAGGTCCATGACACGGATCCGCGCTTTCACGTTCTGGTAAACAAGAATCGTCCGATCATGTTTCTAATCCAACGGTTGGGGTGCTCACGGAACACACAAAATCAATATCGGCGACTATTGTTGCCACTAAAGACCTAGAAATGTCGCCACTAAAGATCGTAAAATGACGCGGAAATAATTCCCTCTGGAGAGTCGCCACTAAAGCCCTAAATGTCGTCGGTAAAGGTGTCGCCGCTAAAGGCCGACGCAGTTAACCCCAAAAAGATTGACGCTTTTTTCCTTTTGCTCTTCTGTGACTCTCGTTGCTGCTGCGTTTCTCTTATTCTTCTGCTAACTTACATCGATTCATCAATTAAGTGGGTGATTTTCGATGAGGATCATTAATCTCCGGCGACATTACTCAATTTCCGGCGACGGTGACTGTATTTTCCGATGAGGACCATTAATCTCCGGCGACATTACTCAATTTTCGGCGACTGAGAGGTATTTCCAGGTTAGTTTCCTTTCTCTTTTCTCTTGTAACATTGATTTTAAGCTTATTGTAGTGCTTAATTTCTAAAAATTGTCAATTTCAGTTTTTTAACTGTGTTCCCGACCACCACCTAGGACTACCGCCACCATTGGATCATAGGTTATATTTACTTCTATTTATTGTGAACTTTGAGTTTAATTGTCAAATATGTATAGTTGTACAAATTATATGAAAATTCGCATATGTATGTATATGTGATATTTGTATTTGAATCTATATATATTTGGTGTATATATGTCAATGTATGTGTGTTTGATGTATATGTGGTATATGAGTATTTGGTAGAAGTACGCTGTTATTATGTGTGTTTGGTATAAGTAGGAGCTATTATGTGTGTATGTGAATGTATGTGTGTTTGTTGTATATATGGTATGTGAATGTGAAATTTGTGTATTTGGTATAAGTAGGATGTTATTATCTATATATGTGAAAGTATGTGTATTTTGTCGAAGTAGGATGTTATTATGTGTGTATGTGAATGTATTGTATTTGGTGTATATGTGGTAAATGTATGTGAATTTGAAATCAGGACTTTCAACAACGTGCATACACGTTCGTCATTACAGATACACCCAAATCATAAGCATGCAAATAAAAAAGTCATGGGTACTATATTGCATGAGATTATGGGAAAACTCATTCCAAGGTTTGGAGGCTGTCACACCCCCAAACCAAGGATGATGGAAACGTCCGGGGGTGGAGGACTTCATGTATTGTATTACAACGAGTATAATAGTGTTCAAGCTACAAGCAACTAACATAAATATAATTAAAAAAGTTACATCATAGTATAAGTTGACATGTTTCTAAGTCAATTACATTATGTTGACAAAAATACAATGTTTGACGCCTTAGCGTTCCATCCTCAAAAGCCGTTGCTTACTTGATGTACTAATTTCTTAAGAATACAAGTAGTTTTGAAAAAGTGTCAACAATTAAGTTGGTGAGTTCATAAGCGTTTTTAATGAATTGTTGAAAACCTTCCTTGTAAAAGTAATGTTTATCCCAGAAAATCCAATATTTTCCCTTATAAAATGTATTGTAGTCTTAAATGCCAAGACTAATAGTGTACTAGTATTTTTCCATATAAAATTGTAAATCATGCAAGTTTAAATTGACATAAACTTGTTAGTTTAAATGGAAATCCCGTAAATCTTATGTTTGTTAATACCCCATGTGAGTTATTATAACCATACTATGACTTAGTTGGCCTTGTATACGACGTTCTTTAGGCGTCAGAA